CTAGGCATCGCCGAGGAGGCGAGCTAGGTCGGGAACTAGGCGCGCGACAAAGTCGCCGTGTAGAATTCCTGGGCCGGCATTTGCGGGTTGCCAAACTTGCGTGTGTTGGAGGTGAAGAGTTTGACTTGAACGGGGTCGCCCTCGAAGATGGTGTGGTTCGATTCGAGGATCGATCGCTGGAGCCACCCGCGCTTCATCGCCGACGACAGGAGTAATGGCGATGCCCCATGTGATTTTTACAGTGGCCGACTAGTATCATCGAGGAACCAAATGGCCATAATTTAATCAAATGAACTCAAAATCTTCTCAAATTTCGTATGCGGATAGTATTGTCCATAACACAGAAGGATCTATCAATAGATTTCTCTAAAACCATGTAATTTTTGAAATATACTCGATGAAAGGTAAGAATGATAGTCATTTTCAACTGTGGAACTTGAAGTCCCCCCATAACAATTTTTTTTTTCGTAACCGAACGATATAATTAGTCGAAGATTTCCGTGAAACAGCTGGTGCAAGCAAATACCTTAGCAGTTGATAAAATGTCATTTTGCAACCTACGCAATGAACACGTCCAAGTTTGAACAAGTCGTTGCTTTTGTCGAGTCTGAGCACGTGTCCTTACAAAGCAGGAAAGGCTCGACATTTTGCGTCTTTATGCTTTTCTCCTTCACACTGGGGCCACATATGTTGACGTCCAGGTCGGTCGAATGCTCCGTCGCAGCGAAAGAAGCGTAAAAGAAGCCTGGCGTGAATACATGCTCGAAATTTCTGTTGTTGTTTTTCCACTTTCCAACAATGCTACTCTCCACGCAACCCGTGTTCCTTGCAACCAGTACGTCCATGGTCTCGTGCAGCAATTTGTACGGCAGCGCCGCGAAACACGCACCCGCACTGTTGCAAAGGACGTTTTGTCAATTGTATGGTCGTGGCTTTGTCGATTTTGATTTGGATTCGCCAGCTGACTACAGTGCTTGCCTCCGTTCTGTTCAGAGGTTTCTCCTTGCTAATGGGTACAGTCGTGGCAAAAAAGGGTGTGGTTTGTTACAAGTTGTCACCGGCGATT